CCTTAAACAAGAAAGGGGATTTGCCCGTGATGAATCACACGTCCAAAACGCCTCTGTGCGTGTGAAAACGCACGAGCAAATTATTATTATTATTATTTATTTTTTTCGATTTTCCCATGTGAAATTTGACTAATAATAATTAGTTTTACAAACTCAACTAATAGTTCAACAATTATTAATTTACAAAATCAAGTAATTGTTCAACAAAATTACAATAATACAGTACTACCTATGCCTAGAAGTCAACGTCGTCCAAAAAGCAAGTCGATCCGCGTAAAAATCTCGTAGAGGTAGTAAATTGGGAGCTGCAAAATACCTCCACTGAGGATGGAGATGAGGAACAGGGCATGAAACCGGTACTCGTATGATCATAAAATGATCGTTATGTAGCGACATATGAATAATACGTGATAACGCGGGGTTCCCAACTAGTGTTAGATAAGTGATGCTACCCCGTTCAGTGAATATTAATACCATTGGGTTGTATCTTGTAGCGATCGCCAACCCCATATCTGTTGACATCTATTTCGTCCGTGGCGCCGGTCCGCTCTCATGACTGCATGTCAAGATATAATCAGCGACTGTATTGCGACCCCCCTCATCCCCACCGTAAATAGTAGCATATAGATTGTAACGCTCCATAAACTCCTCAACCAAGTCAGTTCTGACTTGTGGCCATCTCTCTTGACTGCCGTAAACAACTTCGGCAATGCACCGGTAGCCACAATTTCCATCGGCCCTCACATTAACGTATGAGGCTACGGACTGTGCGAGAAACGGAGGAAGAAAGGAAAAGAAAATTCACACGAGCAGATAAGGTTGTGCGAAAAAACGAAAATCTTACATCCGGGTCTAAGTTGTTTGGATCCATCGCAAAAATTGTTGAATACCTGAATTTTTTCATTTTGAATGTTGAGTTTTATATTTTATAGGATTGGGTAGGAATAGTACAAAAGGTAAATAGTTATGGTAAAAAGGTAAAAAATCATGGTAAAAAAGTGCCTGAATGTTTAATTTGGCATGCGTATATTATTAGAGTAAACTGCAAATACTACCCCTGTGTTATCTAGAAATAGCAAAAACCCCCCTGTGCTAAATAAACTAGCAAAAAACCCCCTGTGAAATTTAGTCAAAGGTAGAATCCCCCCTAGCTGATTTTTTAGACTTGAAATGACAAAATTGTCCCTCAAAATGTATTTAAATATATACATATTATAAGAAAATGCTCTTTACGGGCTAATAAGTGCTATTTACCGTTCAAAGTAAAAAACAGTTTATCTCTCTAAAACCCCTAAAATTCGAAATTCTCTCCAATTACCCCCCATTCCAAAAATTTCAGAAATTTTTTTTTTTTTCGAAAAATTTCGAAATCAACCAAAATCGAGCTTGGGCTTCGATTTTTTCAGGTAATTTCAACACCTACATGTGTTATATGCAATGGGTAACTCGATTTTGCAACCAATTTCATGTTTAAAAGCCCTACAAATCAATTTGTAGGGCTTTTGAATTTTTCGGATGTTAGAGCCAAACGCCCAAACCGGGCGCTGGCTGC